TAGAGGCTCTCTTGTTTCCTTAGGTGATTTGTTCCTCAGCTTTAGTATCAGAAGGGCTTTCCTCACTGCAGGGTATAGTGGTAACTGTGTGTAATGAAGGTGAAGAAGAGATGCAGGAGGGTTGGTTATGTCATCCTTGCTGTCTTTAGTCTGAAGACCCCAGTTCTTTCGGTCTCTCAAGGTTTCTGGCTGGTTTTGTGGTTTTAATTTGAACTTTCCCCAGCCGGCCCACAGCTCTCTGGGGATGCAAAGACTTAGACACAGCATGGGGAAAGAATAACCATGTGTGTCTTGAGGCTGTATTCCTCCCTGGACATCCCGCTGTGGAGCTTGTCCTTTCGGATTTTGGGGTGGGTGGTTTTGGTAGCATCATGACATTATTCCTGCTCAGTTGTGATGGGTTTTCCTCTTCCGTGGTGTCCTCTAGGTTCTGCTGGTGTTTCTCTCTATTACCGTTTTTGCTAATCTTGATGATCATGGGTAGCTCTAAGCAGGAACCGGTTAGAACTAAACCCCTTTCCTTTATTGTTTGTGGCTGACCACCCTTTGTTCTCCTTATCACACTTCTTGTGATGCTTTAAATAAGGTCTTAAACAGCCATTTGCTAAATTTGCTTTCTTCCCTGAGACTGGCTCATCCAGCATTCCTGCTGACTGAGGAACGTGGTGTTAGGAGCATCCTGGTCCTGTTCCACTGTAGTGGTTATTGTTGGCTTCTCGCACGCCCTCCATTGGTTCAGCAGTGTGTAGTTTCTCATGCCCACTTTGTGGAATTGTGTTACTAAACTCTAGTAAACAGATTTCTGTGAGAAGTGGCTGCAGTTCAATGGTGGATGAAATAATCTCTTTATAGAAATTTGTTTGCAGACCTCTGGGAAAACCGGCGTAATATAATTGGAAGAATATATTTAATATTAAGGTTGTTGTGAATTGTCTTTATTATTATTATTCTTTTTTGGTCCTCTGTTTGTGACAGTGATTGAAGTTTGCCATTTGCAAAATCTATGGATTGGGATGGGGAGCATTCACAGTATCAGGAGCAAATGGGGGGGGGGTGTCAGTCTCTCAGGTTTGGTGACTTCTGTCAGAAGTATAACCAATTTCAGTTTGGCAGGAATTTGTACAATATATGTGAAGATCATGCTTTGAATCCAGAGGAGTGAAACCCACAGTGATGAAAACCACCTGGAAATGCAGTGCACTTTCATATTGCGTTCCCATTTATATCAGGGCAAAGACAAAGCAAGTGTGTATCGGTTATTTGCCAGTAGGACTTTCTGCTGCTCAATACAACTCTAACCCTCATTTTAGAAGATTAAAAATAAGTTAAATGTAGTTTTAAAATCCACAGTTTTCCTGGAATGGGAAAATAGATGTTCTATTGTAAAGGCTCCCTGAAAGATTCTAACTGTATGATTTGTTGGTCTAAGTATTTTTCTATTAAAAAGAGATATATCACCAGCTTGAAAAGCAGTATAAATGTAAAGAGAAAATTTGTTAACTGCAATGGGAAGAGCTAACCCTGGGTCACCTGCAAATCTCTCAAACAAGAGCTTCAGGGCAAGTCCTAATTCCAGAGAGTAAAAGCGAAAATTAAAGCTAGAGCTGGTGACTCCTCTTAAGTTACCTGGGGTGGATTCATTTGAGTTTCCTTGATTGTGCTTGTGAATATAATGTGAAAGGGATGGTAGAGGTCTTCTCAGCCACTTCCCGTCCCAAGTATCTCCATGGAGACAGGAATATAACCTGATGGTCTGTCAAAAGTTGCTTTTCATAACCAGAGGCATTCATTAAATAGTAGATGAAGCAGGAGGCAAACTTTTGCATTTTTAAGCAACCTAAAAAAAAATAAATGTGCTTTATGGAGTGGTTTATCCAGATACCACTCATACTTCATGACCTGAGAAACAGACTGTTAATGTGATAGATTTATTTATCATTTACCCTTCTTCTTCAGGTTACAAGCTATCACATGCAGTAAGTAAAAACACAGCAAAGACCATACAGGTTCAGAAATACCAAACAGCTGATCCAGTTCTGCAAACGCACACTGTTTTGGTTGCATGGGAAAAGCCACAGAACCTTCTGAGCAACTGGGTTTTCCAGTGACAAACAGGTCGGGGGCTCACTCACGTTCTTCTGGGAGAACATTTTGGGGGTGAAGGGACTAAAGTGGCTTTTCTGAGGCAAAATGGTGTTTTAATGAGCGCATCGAAGCATTCCTCAATACTCTTGAAACACATACTGCATCTTTTTCATCCTTCTTTCAAGCAGGGGTTTCAGTTGTGTCTCTGCTACCATTTCATTAGTTGAAATTCTGCATGGAAGGTATAGAAACCACACTGCCAGTCTCCTTCCTAAGCCCCAAGTTGGGTAATGACACACCAGATGCTCAAGCTTTTGAGCTGCAGCCACTGCACTCGGATCCCTTGAGACGAACCTAAACTTCTCATCTCCCAGTAGTGCACGAAAACCAGACGGTTCATGGAGGAAACAGAGGAGCGTGGGTGAGCAGGAAGATAAAACATTTTACATTGAGTACTTTTAAAACTGTTCTTAATGTGCTATAAAACCGGAGGCTTCCCTTTTTCCTGAACTGTGTGCAAAAGGAGGAGCGCCGACTGTAAAGTTGTCGCCAGTTAGGTTTGGTTTATGGTTGCAGAGGCCGCCCAATAATGTGATCTTGGAAAAGGTAAACAACATAGTTTTAACAATGAAAAATATGCCTAATATAAATACTGCTAAGTTCATTGCTGTTCAGAACTTGAAAAATATGAGTGTAACATTGCATTTTCTGGTGGAGTTAACAGAGGAGCACGGTGCAGCCTTACAAGCAATATATCTGAGGCAGAGAAAATAGGTAATACATCTAACTGGGGAGTCTCTGTGGCATTGGCGGAGAGGAAAGCACAGTAGCTTTATTTAATTGAGAAAATGAATCAATTACAATGATGTTGCATCATCAAATGCAGGGGAAATAGCAGATATGTCATTACATCGGGTAACAGTGTTAAAAAGTAATTGAGTGTCTTAAGCATTTTGAATCAATTCCAGGTACTGGCACAGCTACCTTAATGCAAAATTTATGAAGATGATCTCAAAATAATATGTCGCCATCAAAATAGTGTAATAAAACCTGGTAACGATGTGTGTGTGCACGCATCCCTCCCTACCTCCCTCTGCAGAAGCAGGGCCTGCTGCTCCAGAGGAGAGTTGCAGCGGCACAGGAAGAATCCTGTCGTACTTGCATTTGTGTTGCTTTATTTTTCATTAGAAGCACTGAGCCCTTTGATTAGAAATGATATTTTAAATCTCGTTCTGAAATTGGATGTAGTCATATCGGCGTTGAGGTGACTGTAGATGATCCCACCTCTATTCCTCTGCATGACAAGACCTATTTTTCCAGTGAGGAAATGTGACTGGTGCTCTGTTAGGATGACAACCTGAAACGCCTGCTCGTGTGCACTAGTGTAAAGAAGCCCCACACCATCCCTACAGAATGAGTCTGTTTTGTCATTTAGCATCTGGAAGTGAAGTGGGGAAAAAAAGTCTTTTTATATCCACAGCATATTTTGCTGATTAGCAATAATGGAAAGCGGCATGTTTATTCCATTGACTTGTAATAGGTTGACATTGGCCATTAAAAAAAATGGGCTAATTCTATGCATTATTTTCTTCTCTTCCTTGGAAAAAAAATAGAATTATCCACAGAAACTTGATGTGTATGTTTGTGCACTGCTAATACAATAATGAAAGACTTCATGTGCATAATACCAGCTATTTTCTTGGTGCTAGTTTTCAACCTCCTCTTACATTACATTTTACTACCTGTAAAGTATCACTAGAGGATCCTGCCTCTGGCTGGGTACTGGAGGGGAGTGCTTCCAGTGCTGATAGCAGCCCTACAACATTCATCACCATGGCACTATACAGCAGAGAATATTAAACGTAAGGGCAAGCCAAATAAAGTGTGTTAGAACAGCAGACAACGTTCTCAATAAGGACCCCGTTGTGTTCACATCGCAATGGCGTTGGGTTGAGCAACTTTGTGTCTGGTTAGCTAAAATAGAGAATTAATTCTCTGCACCCATTAGAAATGGTACCCATGAACATGAGCAGAATGTCAGCATCCTGAAATCTGGTCAGATATTCTGTGTTAAGTACCTGCTTTGTATTTAATTGTTGGCGCTGTAATTCTGCCTTTGTTCCTTATTGTGGTCAAAAGGTGCTTTGCCAGTATGGGCCAGAATATTTTGCAGCTCTCTATAAGCAATCAAATGGTCTGTTACTATAAACTATTAATTATTTCCCAACCAAATTGATGTGGAAATTGAAGACGACTGATAACAGCCCTTTTCTTTGCCATTTAAAACCAGACAAAGTTCATCAAACTTTGCAGCCTCACAGATGGCTTCGACACTTCGACTCCAAGTAAAACTGGGTTGGAATATATAAGAAACTTGGGGAAAAGTGGAGTATTAAAGGCTTTCCTGAGCAGCAGTAGATACTTCAACCACATAATTAAAGTTTTCTTCACAAAAAAGGGATTGTGAGCCGAGCCTGGCAGTAATCCAGAATTCTAATTTCTGACTATGATTTAATTTCAATTTTAAATAAATCGGTTTTTAATTTAAAAAGAGTGAGCTTCATAACATTAGCAATGATTGCAACATTAAGCCCAGTGTTCACCATCTAGCAATATAAAACATTATTTATATCTGAATCGTAAACAGCCTTTTGAAATGGATTATGGTTTTTCTTCCTATTCTAATACAACCTGGAGGGTACTAAAAAGTGTTGTGTGAAATTAACATTCTGCTGACTTTCGCCTATAAATGAGAAGCGAGCTATTAACATTTGTGTATTTTCATTATGTAAATTGTGTTAACACATGCCCACAAATTGCCACCAGCGATGCAATAATTTTCTCTCAGTGATCATAATGTGTCCAAGTGAGTCATTTTGATTATGACATGCTAATTACATATTGTCTTTTTTCAGATTCAGAAAAACCAGGGATCTTTAATGGTAAGCTTTATGAGTTCAGAAAAAAATTCACTTTTCTTTTTCCTGATGGCTGCTTCCTCTGCATGCTTGAATGCCTTGTTTTAAACTTAGCAAATTGCATTTTGAAGAAAATGCAAACCTTTAACTGCCTGTATTAGATTAGGTACCATTAGAAATAATAGAACATCCTGAGCATCAGTGTTTTTATAAGAGTTTGCTGCTGTTGATTAATCTTGCTATATTTTATTGCATTAATGATTTTTTCTTTCCACTCCACTGTAAAGATATTGCATATAGGCTAATACTTTTTCTCTCTCTTCTTCCCATTGCAGCCTCTCCAGTTATTGCAGTGCATTGTTGATGAGGTGAGTCGTCGTCTTATGTGCTTTCACTCCTAAAGTCATTCCTAATGGAGTGGAAAGCTTATATTTTGTTTCCTAATGAAGCACAATGCCCAACATCCTCAGAGCACAAGTTGCCTTGTGCAGCTTGGAGCTGTCAAACATGAACTGGCCTCGTCCCACTTTATGCTGTTTTTCTACTCTTAATATTGAGTCTTTGAAAGACTTGATTGTCTCAAAGCCTGCTCCTTTTAGCTCTTTAGGTCCTAAAGCCTCAACCTCATTGTGTGAGCTGAACCTCAGCATTTGCCAGATGAGTTGGAACGGAGACATTCAAGTGGCAGCACTCTTTAGCCAGGGCATATTTAATGCAGTTTAGATGGGCAAAAAGGGCATTTTGACAAGGAGAGAAAACCAGAGTGTAAGCAGGGAAGAATCTGAATTTTGTCTGATCATTTTTATTTAATTGAAGGACAAAATAAAAAGCTGAGATGCAGGAGGTCCAGGTGTGAGCAGGCAATTGAATTTCAGTGGCTAATGTCGTGTCTCTTGATTGAAACACTTCTTTCCCTGTCTCCTTTCCCTAACTGAGGTATAAGAAGGGGTCCCAACTCTTGACAGTGAGGCAATAGCCAGGGGTAGACTGCTGTCAGTTTTACTTTGGTCTTAATGTTTAATAAGACTATGATGGCAATTGGAAAGTTTGAACAAGAAAGAAAAAGCTGTAACTCTAAAGACTTGCCTCAACCTCTAGCAGGAAGTCATTGCTGGCTCATCAGGTTGAGACACTGGATGTTGGTGTGCCCTTTGAGACTGTTCAGCTTCTTCCAACCTGTCCCGTGTAACATGTTTGTTTAGCTTGATGTAAGCTTAGAGCCAGTGGGGTGCCCAAGTACCCTCTCTCTTGGTTGTGTCTCCATCTGTAACTGCTACTTGTGTGAACCGCTAAACCCTCTGCTCTTACCTGCGGTGATCGCTTTTGTCCTTTTGTTAGAGAATGACTTAGAGGCTTAGCTGGACTTCTTTTTAAAAGTGATATTTGAGCCTTGGGGGTGCGGTTATATTAAAGAGAACAAGTGTCCTTTGTGTAAAGGAAAGATGTTCTCCTGGTCCTCCAGCAGTGCTGGCTCTTTTAACTGGCTCTTTATGGTGGTCTGGTTCTTTGGGAGGGTCTTAGGCAATTCTCTTTATTTCATCTTTTTCATCCGTTATTATTCCTGTTACATACATCATTGGTTGAAGCATGGAAATTCCAAAGCACCGGTGCTGTATGTACCACCAGCAGAAGCCCATCTCCATCCTAAAGAAGGTCAGTTAAAGACGCTCATATTTTCTAGACAAATTACTTTTAAATGGGCTGGTACTAGTGCCTAAATCCAAGCTCACTATTCTAAACCACAGCCCTAAAGAGCCACAGATTATGACAGACCTTCTCGCAGCTTCCACATCTTTTCCTCCGGATTAGAATTGCTCCAAACTTCTCACAAAATCTTTAACCACCAGCCTTGGTGCAGGCTGTAAGCACCTGAGTGCCGAGCTAGCTTTAACATTCGCCTTTTGGTATCTACTTGTTGTAACTTATTTCATGTTCCCCAGCATGCCACGGAGCCATCATTCTCCTGAGGCGGTGGTTCAGAGTGTCCTGTGCTCGTGAGCACGTTAAGACTTCAGGTTACAGAGCATAGCTCAACTGAAAGTTCTTTAAGTGCAACTCGCTTTGTTTTGTAACACACTCAATGTCTAAATGGAAGTTGCATGCCATAACGTTTAGAGCCTGAGGGGAAGAGGAGGATGGATTGGCTCTGTAGTGTTGTTTGCTCGTCTGTATTGTTATGGGGTCATTTAATAAGATATATAGTGTTTAGATAGTGGCTGCCACACCTGGAAGTGCAAACTCTTAGCATGGCAGTGTCTTGGAGAACATTTATATTAAAGGCTTTTCTGTTCTAGCTCATGGGTAGCATTGACTTTAATAGATCCTCCTGCCACCCCCAGCCTTGTCTTGTGTACAAAGGCCTCAAAGAAAATGTGTTTAACTTGTGACTAGGTTTTTCTTAACCCTTCTCACTTTGTCTTCTGTAAGGTGTGCCTCCTGGGGAGTAACAGAGGGACCTGCTTATTTGGCTCATACGCACTCTTCCTTCTACACAAGGACTTTTTGAGAGACAAAGTCTCTTTACTGTCTGGTACTGCACAGCTGTTGTTGCTACCATGAGTATTAAGGATCAGAAATGCTCAGTGTTGTAAGACTGCTAATTTTGGGTCGAATTTTCCCCTTGGCTGTAAGGAGGTCCTAAAACTCACAGGAGGTGGGAGCAGAGCCCCTCTCCTGTGCAATAGGAACCCAGTGATGCTGGTGCACAATTCCCCACCTACTGTAATGACGATCAGAGCAGCAAGGAGTGATGATCTGCAGCTTGCCTCTTTTCCGAGCTGGTAGGGCACAGCAGTGCTCCCATGATGGCGCAGCCCGAGGATGAGATGTAGCATCAGGTTATGGGAGAAGCAGCTCTGCAAGGCTGGGATCGAGCTGCCTCGAGGATCTTCAGTCATCATGTAGGTTCATAGTAATAATCTGCTGAAGCTGTTGCAGTTGAAAACTCTGGGTCCTCAAGTGCCTTAATGTGTCCCTTTGTGTGGCAAAGAATGGTTTGGACTTTTGGGTCCTAAAATTGTGATTAAACAGCTTTGTGGAAGAGAACGTTTCTTGTAATTGTGTCTTTGCTGGTAGAGTGCTTATCCTGCTCCTTCCCACTGGAGTTGGCCAAAAACTCCAGAACCTGCCATGGAGAAGTGTTTTAAAATGAGGAAACAGAGACTTTGATTCTTTATAATAGTTGCTTATTGTATTGGTAGTTGGTTGGGTTTTGTAGGGCAACCTGAGAACTGATTCCAAAGTTAATCAAGAATCCAAGAGTTAATGTTCTGGTCATTCATAACCATTAATTCATAGGATTTATTAGTGACTGAACTAGTTCAGAGGTTGCTTCTGTGTTACTTTCCTCAAACCCTGTACATTGGAATAAGAACTGTCCATGGGAGTTTTTAGTTGTTCTGCAGAGCTGAGATGTTTGGAGCTGACTCTTAGTTACAGAAATATGAGAGATGTAAGAGGTCACTTTGACAGCTTAAAAAGTCTCTTAATTCTCTAGAACTTAAATTTACTTGCAGAAATCCTGCAGGATGAGTAAATGATGTGAGAAGCAGGGTAATCTAACAAAAACATAGGCATGGTTCTTCTCAAATCAGAGTGAACTCTCCCTGCCTTTTTTTGTTATATTATAGGCCTTTTAATGGCATTGGTTCTGGGATTATTTTTTGATGGCAGAATTAGCGAGGAGCATGTGTGAATAGCATACATGCTTGCCAGGGCCTTTATTTTTTAACATGTGGTAACTTATAATGAAATCTGATCCAGCTACAAATAAGACACGCACATTTAAGCAGTGGTCCTCATCATAGCAGTATCTCCCACCATAAGACTCCTGCATCTGGTCCAGAGATGAGGATAAACTGGTTGTTAATGCAATTTATCCTGCATCACCACCAGCAATAAAGGCAGTCTGCTGTTATTTGGGAGCTGAGAGTCATTTAATATTCTAGCACTCAACTTAGTTTGTCTCCAACTCACCAACATGTTATATGGGAAGCACTGAGCAGTGCACATGAACCTCGTTGGGTAGGTCCCTTCCAACTGGAACCATTATATGATTCTATAAGATCCCAAAAGACCAAACCTGACAGCTCTCTGGTTTTCAGCATGTCTGCATCTCATCCTTTCCATCACATGGTTTTTGGCCTTAGAGGTGTCTGCTCTGCATCCAGAGAAGGTTGGATGGACAGCACTAGCATTGTGGAATGCATCCAGCAGGCAGTCCTGACTTGAGCAACTCCTTTAAATTTCCCTTAAGCTCTCCAGGGCTGTTTTCTTTGACCTTTATTTAGTTAGAGTATCCCTTCCAGGAAAGCAATTATTGCCAGCCCCTTGGGTGGTTGCGGTAAACCCAGTTTCACTGTACTGGAGCAGTTGTGGTTACAAGTGCTGTAGTTAAGCATCAGCTCTAGTTTCTAACCCTTTCTTCAGAATCTGAAATGAATGAATTTTGCTTTCAGTTTCCATAGCTTGTGTAATAGCAACTTAGGTGTTGGGTTTGGCTTTTATGTTTTTAACCTGTATTGCTTTAGGGAAAAAACGAACTTAATTTTTGTCCATCAGTCTTAGTTAAATTATTATTGTGTTATTCCAATGACATTGGAAGCTTGAGGAGTGAAGACTGTCAAGAGCAAATCCTACTTTTTACAAACAGGAGGCAGCATTGGGGAAAGTGCCTGTTTTGATGAGTCAGGCAGAAATGTAAAAGCAAAATTAATTAGTTGTACTCACGAATCCTTTCTCTGATCGCTTCATGAGTAAGTAGTGAGAAGCTTTCCATGAGTTTCTTGAGCATTTCTGTTAAGCGCCCCCACAGAGATACTCGGTCTCACAAGACTGCAGTTTAATCTAGCTCAAGGACTTTGCAAACTCCACGAATCAAAGGCCTCTTTTTTTTTTTTGTTCTCTTTAAATTTGTACTCTCGAAACATTTAACAGCATCCGTTAACGCTGGTGGAGTGTTAATGCTGAGCTGTGAGGCATTTCAGTGTCACTAAATCTTCACATTTTCTAATGGAAAAAATAACTTGCACTTAATACATGTATCCTATTAGTTGGGTTTATTCCCCTCTTTTTTTTATACCTGGTTAAATATATCCCTCTATTTATTGCTGTGGTGTAGCCTTAAAAATTCACAGGACATGCAGCTTGATCAAATAATACAATGAAGATTGTTGCCTCTCAAGTGCTGAATTTCCTGACCTTGTCCATCAGGACCACGTTTTGCTATTTCTATAAATGAAGTGGAAAGCTCCAAAGGCTCAGAATGAAACAAGACTATTTTTTTCCTGAGGAGTTTCTCTTTGGAGTCTCGGGTATCGATTTTAATGTGTAAACAGTTATAGTTAACCCTTGAAAATTCCCAGAGTTT